AGAACTGCCCCATAGGGTTTTCTAGGCTATAATCTTTATGGGAGCAGATCGCCAGATCCTTCTCCTGCGCAGCTGCTGCGTGGGTTTGAACTGCCAATCTTTTGGTTAGCAGCTGAGTGCTTAATCATTGCACCACCAGGGCTCCTTATGTTCTTCATAGCACTTATTTTATCTCAAGTTATCTCAACTGTTTACTTATTTACTATTTGTCTCCCTCCACTAGCATGGACCTACATGGAAACAGTGCCTGGCACATAGTAGGCATTCAAATACTTGTTGAATGAATGAGGCTGAAGAAGGTTGTCACTTTTCCAACATCATAGAGGTAGCAGTAGTGGTGAGGCTGGTATTTAAACCCAGCTCTTACTAACTCCAAAGCCCATGCTCTTTGCCCTCTACCTCTCTCCTCTCTCCCTATCATGCAGCTAGGTCTTCCTTCCAGCTACAGACCACTCTTTCAAGATTTTCTTTTCCAGTGACTTTGGGCTATTCCCTATAGAGGCAAATTAACATGTTAGGAGTAAGCAGAAAGTGAGCCTGAGAATGCCATGGCAATGATGTCTTACAGGACGGATGGGACATTCACTTCTTTCTCTCTCATAGCACAGACCCTCTAACTTGATCCTTGGGTGGGCAAGGTCTTCAATTCTTGGAGTTGCAACAGCACTTAGAGCAGAAATTGAAATCCTTGTTCCAGGCTAAGGGAGAAAAAGAAAATACCTGTGAATATCAAACAATAAACAGTGCCTAGATCAATGTTACAAAGTATGGACTGAACTCTGGACCAGACTTCTCAGCAAAAGCAAAAGAAACTACAAGAATCTTGCAGTAGCCTATGATCACAGCTGAAAGGATTAATTTCTGTCTTTCTCAAACTAAGTTTATATGGATTCCAACCCAGCTTTTTCAGAAACATAACGGTAAAATTATTGAAGGAGAGGAAATAGGCAAACATATTGGCTCAGGGAGAAATGGTGATGCTGATTTTTGGAGTCATAAGTTCAGCCAGGAGGGAAGGCTCAAACCTACCACATAAGAATTCTCTGCAGGGCAGAGCTCTGCTTTGTTCTTTATTATTTTCGCCCTCTGTAAACTGGGGTTCACATTATCACAAATCACCATGCTTAAAGTGAATTAAGTGGCTCTCTCTTAACTGGACTAGACAAGAAAAAGAAACCAAAGCCAATAACAAGAAAGGCAGAACCATATGCCTCCAAAGACAATGTTGTCCTAGTTTCCTAGCCAGGCTTCACTTTCCTAGTTCAGGAAGTGTTCAAATTACATGGTCTTCTGTTTCAGTTACTTGCATTCAGACTCAGTATTTACCAAAGAGTTTGAAAGGCAATAACTAGAAATAAAATAAGGTTTTAATTTTAGGGATAAAAAT